AGCTGTACGTATTAAATTTTCTAATAAAAATAGCATGGTGTTTTCCAGTCTTTGGGATTCTGCGACAGATGTTTACAAGAAATGAAAAAAAATCACAATCGATAATTTAATTTCAAATACAAATAAAAATTTGTATCTCTTTTTGTTTTTTGGCTTTAGAATTAGAGCTCTTTGGTTGTTAGATTAATGTTACCCAAAATGGCTGGTTTAGAGCTAAAAGGATGTAGTAAAAAATTAGCAAAATTATATCAATACATATTTAAACTGAACTGTTTAATCTCCAAATATTTTTTGTTGGTTTCAACCCCAGCTACACACAAGAATGCAAAGCATTTTCTCCAAGCGCTCTCACTTAGTTCTAAAATACACCCAACACAACTTTAGGCAATACTCTTGAGTAACTTGAATGCTTGTGGAGGCATTTTTGCTATGCTGCCACGTATACCTGAAAAAACTCACATTCTACAAAAATCACACACTAAAATTAACAGGGCTATGGGAAAAAGAGGGGCTAGCTTTTCAAAATCTATGGACTTCTTTTTAACTAAAGCACTAAAAAACAGTGATAATCTCATAAGAACAGCATCACTGTGAAATCTCTGCCTACATTTGTACCCAGCATCACCGCCAGTGGGTTCTTTGCAGCCTAAACCTGGGATCTGTACTTCTTCAAGATGTAGGTTCTTGATAGCATCTGCTTCTCACAGAGGTCAGATGTATCAGAATTTAAACATCAGTCCAGGATGTAGATTTCCCCAATTTTGTTTTTAAACATGGGGGAGGGGGTGTCTTTGCAGTTTATTCCACTGCACACTCCCTAGTTTCCTCAGCTAGCATAATGTCATAAAAAGGGTAAAGAGTTCTGAAGCCACTCAACAAGCCACTCTAAAGGAAAGGACTCTGTTTACAGATTTTCAGCTTTGTTCTTAAGGTCCTTCATACATTGTAAGAGTTCTCTCTGACTGTGAGAAAGCTTAGCCCTGATAGCTTCAAGATACTAACCTGTCAGGGAAAACTGCTAAAATAAACACATATTGTAGAACAGACTGTACCTTTCTTGGCATCTTGGATTTGTTTCATAATCTCCTCTCTTTCTGCTTGCTCAGTTGCTGTTGTGACACGGAATGATCCCTCTCTTGTAAAAGTGGTCCGGCTGGCATCAAAAGTAGCAGTCACTCCACATTCTTTCTCGCGCTTCTGTTTGCGTTCTAAGCAGGCCGCGAAAGCACAGCCGACTGCATGGCTCAATCTCTCACCCTGTTCGTAAGAAAACATTTTTAGAGCTACAGTGTCAACAATTACAAATGAGCTTGGATCACAAATGAGTCTGTTTCTACACAAGTCAAAACGTTGAAAGCTCCAGCTTAAATTAGATTTTAGTATGTTGACAAGCCAAATTAATTTAAATGAATAAATTACCTCAGGTAATGCTTATGATACTTTTACTGTAGCAAGCATTGGGTAAAGTGACCATCAGCAATCTGTGGTTTTGTGAGCAGCCACCGGGAAATTCGTATTAGTCAGGCGGCCTCTGTCACACACATTAGTTCTGGCCATCAGCTTAGGACACCGCTGAAGGCTCTAAGCCCTAAGTCTTGAAATGCAAACCTCTATTTGTCATTTAGGGGAATAGTAGGAATATTTACTAAGCATTTCTAAGAAACCACTGGAAAGGCAGAGCAAATTTCAGGAGCTTAAACATACTAAGGACAAAAGGCGCAGACTTAAAACTTCAAATAAATACAACTCCAGTGATGAGAGGGGAATGAAGCAAAGGAAGGCTGAGCGTCTCCGTCTCTCCTTTCTGAATACCCCCTCGCTGAGCACCCTTCCCCACTCCGTCCTCCGAGCCTTGAGGCTTTCCCCTATATTCTTCTGGCTCTCTCGAATCCCAACTCTGCGTCCCAATCACACACAGGCAAAAGTTAGAGCATGTTTTCATCCACATTCTCTCCTTATAAAGGAATCAAACAAATAAAACTCCCTTGTTTGTCTGTAGGAGAAGAGGGCTTATATGAACTAAATATTATTTGAAAGATATTTAAATAAATTCAATGGATTATTTTTACCAGGGTTATTTGTATTTTATTTATTTTTTCATATTCATTGCTCATTTTATTTATTAGTTACTTATTACATTTGTTATTTATTATATTTATTATTTATTGTATTTATTATATTAGTTATATTAGTTTCAGGTGTACAACATAGTGATTCGACATTTTTATACCTTACAATGTGATCACCCCACTAATTCTAGTAATTATCTGTCACTGTGCAAACTTATCACAATATTACTGACTATATTCCCTTTGCCTTTTCCACCCATCCCCCATCTGGCCACCATCCCTTTGGTCTCTGTTTCCATGAGTCTGTTTTTCGTTTGTTTTCTTTGTTCATTTGTTTTGTTTTTTCAGAGTCCACATGTAAGTGAAACCATATGGCATTTGTCTTCCTCTGACTTATTTCACTTAGCATAACAAATTCTAGGCCCACCCATGTCACCGCAAATGGCAAGATTTCATTCTTTTTTTTATTGCTGTGTAATATTTCATTGAGGGTTATCTGTATTTTAAACCATATACCTAATTGTGGAATAAAAACAGATGATATAGTAACAGTTGGCTGGCATCATTAATAGTGAGAAGAGGTATTTGAGAACAGGGAGCCTTTTGTGGAGTGTTCACAATCACACCATGTAAGCAGCTGCTCCTACACATGGCTCTGAGCAAGTAATTCCACTGGGTTTTATATGCCAACATCATAAGGAAAGGTAATGTCTGCAGTACTTTTTGGCCCTAAGATTTCATCTTACTGTTTAAAGACTGAAACTTATTCTTTCTTTTCTTTTTTTTCTTTTAAAGATTTTACTGGGGAATCGGGGAAGGGGAACAGACAAGTTGCTGTCCTTTTGTTCTTCAGTCTAGTTGTGGAGGACGCCGCTTCACTGGCCCATGTTGGTATTATCATTGTGCTCTTCCGGGTGAGGCAGCTCGGTCACCGGCCACTGAACGGCCACTCACGGCTGCTCACGAAAGCTCATGCCAGCTGCCAGCCAGCCCCACTATAGCCTACGCCATTGCCGGGGACTCACAGCAGCCCAGCTCCAGGTCGAGCTGTTGTTCACCATCTTAGCTGTAAAGGGCACAGTGTCACTGGCCCTCATGTGGGATCCGAACCGGGGCCCTGCTGCTCAGAGCTGGCATCCCAAGTCAGCTCTTAACTAACGTGCCACTTGGCCAGCCCCAGACTTATTCTTCATAAACACACATGTCTGCATCTAACTTCTCCTTAGGATGATATAAGCGTAAGCATTAAAGCATGAATAGGAGAGAGTACGGAAAGAATCTAGAACGTTTGCATTTGCATACAGCTTTATTACAAGAACAGAGCTAGAGGCCAAGGAAGCTTAATCTTTCTCCTAGGTCTAGGGTATAAGTTCTTGAAGACAGACCCCTCCTCAAGCCCCATCCCAGACCCAGCAGGAGGAACAGCTTTAACGATATTAGCCACCATTTTTAGAGCAGTTACATGGGTCAGACCCTATGCTAAGAGTGCTTATAGTCATTACCTAAGTTAGTTTTCACAATTATCTCCATCTTAACAGAAGTGGATACGAAGACTTACATAACTCGCCACAAATCCCACCACCTGTAAGAACCAGAATCAGGTCTGAAACCCAGATATGACTCAGAGCCTGAGCTCTTCTTATTTGTTTATACCACTGTCTCCAAGAGCTTAAAAAAAACCCTTTGGTCAATTTTAAATACGGCCACCATTTCCCTTCCAAGTTCAACCCTGGCAAGAGTTTTTTGAATTGTAGCCTTCATAAATGGCCATACTGCCTTCTTCTGTCTGGACTCTTAAAAATTCATAAATTACACTCTCAGTGCTGTACTCTACTAGAGTTAAGATCATCATCATCATGTAAGAGACTTGTCTTTCATGTCGAATTTTGGGTAATTTACATGAAGGATGATAGATGAGATTATTCTCTATTTTGAAACAAAGCCAAAAATTTCTACTATGCAACAGTTTCTAGTGTACATCATTATACCATGATTTAGTATTTCTATTTTTTAATTAATTGAAAATATACTCCAACTCAGCTCTTTCATTTATAGTAGAGTCTCTTTGCAAATAAATTTATAAGCACCTTTCAAATGCCAATATCTCCTACCCAGATGTATTAGGAAACAAATACACCTAAGAATTGTGAAAATAGTTCCAACAATGAAAAGTTTTGAATAAAGGTTAGCAGCCACCCTCACCAGAACACTTTTACTTTCCTTTAATGACCTTGGATCTCAGCTAATCATCTTGCTCCCAGAGTTGCAGCGTCACACCAAGAGTGTGAACTACTTGAATAAAAGGAGCGAAAGCAGGCTAGTTTAGGCACTTCCAAGTACTGCAATAGCATGTACTTGTCAGAAATGTAGTGGAAACTGCTTGACTGAGCCAACCTGGAAGGAGCTTGGTTACTGAGGCTAATCATGATGAAATCCATGGTGGACTCACCGTGTCCTTGACAGCCATGAAGCAATGACAGATCCAGCGCCGAGTGGTGCCATCACGACATATGTAAGAGAAGGCTCTATCAAAGTTCCTATCTGGGGCACAGAAAGAAACTTTTTCTATTGTCTGGTCAACTATGAGGTCCTAGAAAAAGGGAAACACAAAAAAGGAATAGAGAACTTATGAAGTTACTCAAGCTTCTCAGAAGAAACACAAGATGTTCATTTCATAATACAGAATCCCTATATCTAATGCACCAAGGCTATGGACTAGCTAGACATGAGGCCAGCAGTCTGAACACTAAGAATCTGACCTAGGGGAGATCCCAAGAGGCACTGTGCCCAGATGCCTCCTTCACCTCATCTTCCTGTTCTAAAACATATGCCTGCTGATTCTAATTTTATCATGATAGAGGTCCATGTTCAACTTACAATTTATGTAAATCAATATACTTAATCCAATTTCCATACAACGTTTTATAACATCATTCCCAGAACAGTTCTAGGTATTTATTAACTTGTTAATCATTTAATTTTGACTATGACTTTCTCTGCTTATATACTTGCTGAATGACCTAGTGTATACACAGTATAAACATTACACAAAATGTTTTTTAAAATCTTGAGGCTCTGAGGCTTTTCTGTGTGATATTCCCCATGGCCTAGAATTCCTAGATGCTGAGGTGGGGCTGTAAGTGCTAAAACATACAATAATAACAATTTTAAAAAGTCTCACTATGAGAATTCCTGTTGCTCCACAAACTTGCCAGTTAATTTTTAAAAATTTTGCAATTTTGGTAGCTCATTATGCTTTTATTTTGCATAACCTTGATTTTCTCTTTGACAAAGTGATTCTTCAAGTTTTTTTGGTTGTCTGTTGTTTATCTTACAGTTATGTAGGAGTTATTTATACATCTAAATATGAGCCCTTTATGGGTTATACATATTGCAAAATTTCCTTTCCACTCATAATGGGTCAAAGAGTGATAATCTACCAATTACTATTATCACTCAGTATGGAAAGAACTAATTAATGCTGTGCTATAAGCAGCCACCAGGGGGCAACTTTCTCACTATTGCATAAAATGATTAAAAAGCCTCCAGGTACAACAAATTTCATCCAAAATACAAATGAAAACTACACAAATTCTTAAAAATAAGCTAACTAAAATGGCTGTTTCCAAGTGTAATGTACATTTAATAACTACCATTTCTTTTGAACTTAAAAAAAAACAACCAGAAAATGCCTTAGATGGAAGGTCAAAAGAACTACAATGCAGCTATATTAAATCACTTAAAACGTATCAGGCAAGACATCTATCAAACTGCTTTTTACCTGCCAGACTTTCTCCCAGGTCCAGTGATATTTGATTTTTTTTGAAAAATTGCCTACTTGTTAAAATTTCTCCAGACTTTAGGTCTCTTAGGAAATTTAAATTAATGATTAAATGTACTTATATAATACCATATGCTCTCTGTCTCTATTGTTATGTAGGCATGTAGGGTCACTTTCTTTCAAATGCAAAATGCTACCTATGATTTGAGATATTGTATGAATTCTAAGTAAATGTTAACCAAATGAGCCATTTACTAGTCCTTAAGATTTCACTTAAGGTGAGTTTTCAGTTAAAAAGCAGGTTAATCAGTTCAAATATTACTTTCTAAAAACAGTTTTTTATTAAGGAACAAGAAGAAATTTCAGATGTAGTCCATCATCTTTTTAAAAACATTTTAACTATGGTAAAAGGTCTATCATCCTTTACTTCAAATTTGTGAAGGTAAACATTTTTTAAAAATGTGTAACAATGAAAATAGAACTCAGAGCTTAACATTAAATGCTTAGTAGGCTAAACATGCTGTGTCACGTAGAGCAAATGTTGAGGGAGTTCTGTTTTTCGTAAGGTAAATGAGTAACTAAATTGGTTTCCTAACATTAACTAGTCTCTCAGAAGATTGTACTTTGGACAAAGTGGACGGATACAGAGTGACTACAACAGCTGAATGGCATTATATTTGAGCATAAGGAATTAAGAAAATAGACGAGCAGTCACATTGAAGCTTATAAAAGTTTTACCTTAGTTTTTTCATCCACAACTCTGAGTCCATCTGCTGACACCCACAGGACTGCCTTAACTGCTTTCTTTCCAGTCTTTTAAGAGAAACCAAAAAAGGGGGAGTGGGGGGGAGACACACATATATTAAAAAAAAAAGTCATCTTCCACAGAAAACACTAACTTCTGCCTTCCAAAAGTCAAAACTACAAATGGAGTCCAAGTTCAGGAGGGGTGCCCAAAGCCAGACACTCAAACCAAACTGCAGAAACATTCAGGAAAAAACAAGCCAAAGCCATTATTTTATAAACACAATGCAAAACAATACGATAAAATTAAGTAAAGGGGAAGGGATATATAGAATCAAAACCAAGATATCACATTCCATAACGGGCAAAGAATTCATAAGTAGATGCTTCACCCGTTTAAAAAATAAACCAAGAAAACCAAGAGTCAGATAAATGTAAATACATAAGGAGTTACACCACAAGTAGCTTCTACGAACGTGTTTAGCGTAGAAAGTAATGTGTGAGTCTAAATTGAGATGCTCACCATTGCACTATCCTTTGACCCCAATGATTACAGCATGACCCTTGGTCACCTGAAAATTTCATGTTAAAAACCCAAGATGTCTTCATTTTTCCTTTAACAGTCTTTAAATACCACTATTTCTTTTCTCAGAATTGGTTTGGTTTTTAGTTTGACATTAAATGCGTGAAGATGTTCTGGGGACATGGAAGGCTTAAAAAACTGTTGAAAAAATACTGTTATTATAACACAAATTCTTTTTACTGGCTGAGAAAAGACTTCTTTTGCACACAAGAGTCACATGGGAACAAGCTGATATATGATTTCTCCTGTGATGAAATGAAAATGGGAGAGTGGGAATTTTGATACTAATTGAACGGCTTCCTTTCTTTCTAACTGCTCCAAGGATACAAGTGAAATAAAACAAAAGTGAAGTGAAGGATGAGAATAAGTATCAAAACATCATAAAGAGTATATATATATATATTAGGTTGTCGGAAAAGTCACGACGCATTTTTGCAACGAAAAACAGAAAAACTACGTCATGACTTTTCCAACAACCCATCAAAAGGAATCAGATACTAAAGATGGGAGCAGCACCCTTTAGAAGGGACAAACGAGGATAAAGACATGTGTCCAAGCCCAACACGCCTCAATATGGAAGGCATGCCTATTTAAATGAACCTTATGACCCACTCCAAGCTCATCTCCACCACCACACATCTGATGAGAGCCTATTATATGCCAGGCAGCGGAAATACGCGAAGAGTTCACAGCCCCTTGACACTCAGATAAACAAAAATAAACAACACAGTAATAAATGATACAGTAGAACTGAAAACAAATGTATAATTAATTATGTCAGAAAGAAGCATGGTCAAATGTATTTGTGGAATTGAGGAAGGTTATTCAAAGGAGAAGACTGAACTGGGTACTAAAGTAATTTTTCTAGCTGCCCCAGGTTGGGGTAGGTAGGGAGGGAACTGACAGAGGTAGTGGACATGCCGGGCAGTACAGGACATGGTGAGTCTGGGCTCTATAAATATTTCAGCATAGCTGGAAAGTAGGATGGGTGAGTGAGGCACAGTGGGAGATAAAGAGTACGAAAGGCCTAGCCACGGAGGGCCTTGTATGCTTGCTAAAGAATCCTACCTTAATTCTGTGGGCAACTGGGGCTACTGGAAGAATTTAAACACAATTAAAAAGATTTTCATTTCAAAAATATCACTTCTGCAGCAGTGTAGAGGGGTTGGAAAGAGACTGACAAGAGTCAAAAAGACCACAAGTTTCCAAGCAAGAGAAAATGAGGGTTGAGCTCTCTTGGTTGAGATGGGGATGGAGATGAGAAAGTTTTAAATAGTAAATGTAAGGAGAAGTTGAGGATTCCTCTCTGGTTTCTGGCGTGGGTAACTGGGTGGAGAGGGTACCACAAACTAAGAGAACAGAAAGGATGCAAAAGCAAGTTTGAGAGGGAACGACTAGGATTTCAGTTTTAGACAAGCAAAGTTTGAGATGTTTGCACAACACTCAGGTGGAGGCGTCCAACAGGTTAACTGGATATATGAGGTCTGACAATTATGTTCACAAACTCATTCTAGAAAAAGTGCTACATACCTCATTGCTGAATATCACTATGGTCACCTTTGAAGTACTCCCCTTGGGAAGCTATGCACTGACACTAGTGCCTAGTCCACCCTTCAAAGCAATTTTGGAACTCTTTTTCTGGAATGGCCATCAGAGTTGTCATCGTATTACCCTTGATGTCCTGAATGTCATCAAAATGTCTTCCTGTCAATATTTCCTTTATCTTTGGGTAAAGAAAGAAGTCATTGGGGGCGAGATAAGGTGAGTAGGGAGGGTGTTCCAATACACTTATTTGTTTATGGGTTAGAAACTCCCTCACAGACAGTGCTATGTGAGCTGGTACATTGTCGTGAAGAGCCATGAATTACTGGCGAAAAGTTCAGGTCATTTTTGTCTAACTTTTTCATGCAGCCTTTTCAGTACTTTCGAATAGTAAACTTGGTTAACTGTTTGTCCAGTTGGTACAAATTCATAATGAATAATCCCTCTGATATCAAAAAAGGTTAGCAACATCGTTTTGGCTCTTGAATTTGGACTGACAGGACTTTTTTGGTCGTGAAGAACTGGCCGACTTCCATTGTGCACTTTGATGCTTTATTTCAGGGTCGTAGTGGTACACCCATGTTTCATTACCAGTGATAACACGGCCCCAAACATCGTCTTGCCTCTCCAAAAGGTCTTGGCAAACTTTGACTGTCCTTTGCTTTTGTTCGTCAGTGAGCTCCTTCGGGACCATTTTTGCACACACCTTTCTCATGCCAAGATTTTCAGTTAAGATTTTCCTAACTGTTTCTCTATCAATGTTTACTTGGTCTGCTATGCTTCTCACAGTCAGCTGACGATTTTGATGCACAATTCGATGAATTTTTGCAATGTTTTCATCAGTTCTGCTCGTTATTGGCCGCCCTGACCTCTCTTCATCAGTGACGCGTTCTCTCCCCTCAGAAAAATGTTTAATCCACTTGTACACTGCCATTTTCTTCATGACATTATCCCCATAAACTTGGACTAACATGTCCCTGATTTCACTTCCACTCTTGCCAAGTTTAAACAAGAAACTGAATGTTTGTTCGCTGCTCTAATTAAAGCTCAGACATTCTTGCAATGGCACACGAAAACACGGAATAACAACAATGAATGCCACTCGACAAGACACTGCCACATATCGACATGTACACAGCTGTGAGACACTGATACACCAAGGTTATGAAACCTTGCTGAGCTGTTTGCACAGTGCTGCTACAGTAAGTGCATGGTGGCAAGTTCACAAACTTAATTGTCAGACCTTGTGTAGGTCTGAAGCTCAGCACAGAATTCTATGCTGGAATTTTAGATTTGGGAGACATCAATCATGGGACTAATAAGAGGGCAAAGGACAGAAGAGATTATCAATAATTAAAGAATTGGGAGAAGATGAGTAACTCCTTGAAATATGAGAAAAAGAATAGCTAGAGGGACAGGAGACTGGGGACAGATTAGGGTCACTGAAACTAAGGGAGAAGAGTTTCAAGAAGTAATGGGTGGTCCAAAATGTCAAATGTTGCCAAATGATCAAGTAAAGAAAGATGTGACAAGTGTTCATTGGATTTAGCAATGAAGAAGACATGCTCGAGTGGTAGAGGTTGTGATGGGTAATTTTACGTGCCCAATTGGCTATGGTTGCCCAGTTGTTTGGTCAAACACTAGTATAGACATTGCTATGAAGGTATTTTGTAGATGTGATTAACATAATCAATTAACTTTAGGTAAAGGAGATTACCCTGATAATATGGGGTGGTGGTGGCCCTTATCCAATCAGTTGAAGGCTTAAGGGTAAAAATTGAGGTTTCCTGGAAAATAAATTCTGCCTTAGCTCTGTAACATAGAAATTCTACCTAAGTTTCCAGCCTGCTGGCCTACCCTACAAATTTCAGACTTGCCAGCCCCCACAAATGCATGAGTCAACTGTTAAAATAAACACTCCCTCTCTAAATATATAGATAACTTAAATGAATAAATATATAAATATAAATATAATATATATATGGAGAGAGAAACAGATGGTTCTGTTTCTCTGCAGGATTCTGACTAACAGAGGTGAAAGTCAGATTAGAATGGGTTGAGAAGTAAATGAAAGATAAGTAGAGTCTACGAGTATTAAATTGTCTCTTAAAAAATATTTTTTCTATGTAAGGGAGAGCTATAATGCAATGGGGGACAGGGATCAAAGGAGGTCTTTAAGAATTGAGATAAACTAGCATGATATACTAGAAATAGAATGAACTTTGGAGTAAGACAAATACGTGTATGAGTCTGAATTCTGGGCCAATATTCACAAACTAAGCAAGTTATGTAGTCCTCTGAGCTTCTATTTCTTCATCTGTAAAGTATTTGTAGTGTTGGTAAAAGGATCAGAGATACGCACAGTACCTGGAATTCAAACAGGGTAATAAATAATTGGTAGCCATTTATCATCATTACTGATAAACTTTAAAAAACTTCTCCCAACAGTAAAGCTTCTTGAGTGATGTGCTTTTCAACAACCACCACTGATCATGCTTATATGCTGAATGTGAAAAGCTAGTGTAAAGATGGCGACTGAAAGCTCAAGAAAAAGAGAATAATTTATAAAACAGAGTCGTCCAGGAGGCAGGATGGGATGGGACTAGAATACAAGCTTTAGGCAGAAGGAGGGATGCACCTTCCTTGAAATGGAGGGATGGAGTGAGGATGAGTAGAAATGAAGGCGGATTTGAGAAGGAGGGGGTGTCAAGTTGAGGAAGTTTACTTGAAGAGCCACAAATTTATCTGTGAAGGGGATGCGAGTACCTGCTTTACTTCGCTGGGGAGAGGAAGGTAGACAGGCAGAGTAAGACAGTAAAGAGTTACAACAGCAGGCAGGGGCAGTTCAGCACAGGGACTCAGAGCACAGACTCTGGAACCCGGCCTTTTTCCGGGGTTGAATGCTGGTTCCGCCACTTCCTAGCATGACCAAGGGCAAACGACT